TATCGGGTGCACCATGCATCTGGTGTCCAGGGCTTGGCTTTTCGAGCGTTTTCGCGTCAATGTCCACTACCCTTGTGCTTCCCAATCCCTGTAACTGCCAAGACAGAACCTCAACTTCTCTAGGGGAACCCGGAGTCGCCGGCAGCCCTCCCTGCTTCTTTGGCAGAGCAAGTAGTTCTCATGCTGCAGTGGCAGAGACCAAGTCCGCCATTGCAGATTCAGAGGGACATCTGCAGCCGCCGGTATCCTTTGGCACGGGCTCACTGCAAGCTTTTGCTTTCCTCAGAGCATGCCCCTAAGTGCTCCAACCTAGGCTTCTTTCTCCCCAGCCCCAACATCTAGGACACGTTTCTTCAAGCAAGGAGTCAAAGAGTCACAGACAAGACCCAAAGCAGTGTGCACAGCCGCTCGTTTCACACCAGGCAGGGCGACCCCACCGGCACAGCTGTTTCAAGCATGTTGGCAGGCTTTGTTTGCTAGACACAACACACCTTTGTTTCTCAACATCAGAATGTGTGGCCCCGGGCTTTCCGCTACGGGGCAGCCTTTTGTTGATCTTAGAAGCATTGGCTTGACACCATGCTACATGTCCCAATTGTGCAGACATTGCCGGATGCTGACATGCATGCTGCTGGTTCGGGGTCGCCCAGGGGACATCCGAATCGTGCCTCGATCTTGGAGTCCCAGGACTGGTAGTGATCTCGAAGAAAGCCGAATTCCTTTGCATGCTAGCCTCCCTTGTAGTGTTAAGTTCAGATGTTAGCCGTCAAGTCAGCCCTCAGAACCATAAGTGAACCATGGGTGAACCATATTATGGAGCTACCGTTTCTTTGCGTCGCGAATAAGTGTAGTGCTAGATTCTCTTGACCATGTCTCTGCATTTTGGCATTTTCCTACGGTTACAGGTGCAAATGCCTTTCAGCATATTGTGTTTTGTCTGGGGGTGGTTTGCGTATCGTATGCCTGACATACTCACGCGTCCTGCTGCAGGGAAGGAGGCTTATTTGGAACTGCAACTTAGCCACGTCGTACACGACAAGGATTTGCAGAGAAGGTCAGCTCGTTCGGTAGTGCACGCCCACCAGACGACACGTGAGCCCACATGGCCCACATCATCGGTGGCTAGTCGCAGCTAGTCACTTGAAGATGCTCTTGCCGTTGTGGTCGTTATGGTTGTTATGGTTGTTACGTTGTGGTGGTGGTGGTGGTGGTGGTGGTGGTGGTGGTGGTCGTGGTCGTGGTCGTGGTCGTCTTGGTGGTGGTCGTGGTGGACTTGTGGTGGTGCTTATGGTTGTGCTTGTGCGCTGCTTGTGGTTGTTGGTAGTGGTGGCGAAAGATGTGGCTTTCCGTGCGAAAACGCAAAGTGGCAATTTGCGCGAAGGCGTCAACGGCCTCACGGGCGCCGCGGGCTTTTCAAGTCGAGCGGGGAAACGCCTTCAGCTGTTACAACATGTCAAGGCCCGGAAGAAGGAAAGAATAAGTGCACAACTCCGACCAGATGGTCTAGCCCTCGCCGGGCTCAAAGAGGACACCACCGATACATGCCAGGACCAAGGACAGAAGTAAACGCAAGTCCGAACCTGGCCGGGGTGAACACCTTGTTGGCAATCAAGATTTCATTTCGCCATCGTTTTTTTTCGCGATCAGAGAAATACTGTTTTAATGGAAGGGACGGGCTCGAGCTGCAAAACCATGCAGCTCCATCCACTTCCCCTGGTTGCATGGTTCGCTTGGGTGGTTCTACTGATTCTTATCGGAACTTATACAATTTCATTGGGTGACTGTTCGCTAAGTGGGTGCCAGGGCGATGCTGACCTCATTGACCGAAGCTGCAATCGCTCGACTAAGCCAGAGCGATGATGTCTAGATTCAGCTGCATTTGGGACAGATCTGTGCTCAAGTTGGGCGTAAACGGGCTTCTCGCAAGGGCAGCACTGCGCATTTCGGGGGTTTTTAGCGACAAGGTACCTCGCAGGCAGTACTGCAATGAGGGGGGCTTGAAATCCCAACATACTGTGGTCGTTTTCGAAGCTCGTAATAAAGCCTTGACAAGGCACCAGGTCCCCAGCACATCATGTTTGCATCAGCCTGCTAGGTCATGCATGGAAAGATCATCAGGCAGCAAATGGTTCCTCACCACTGCAGCTGGATTTGCAGTCGACTTCTGTCATCCCAAGTGGCATGGCAACAAACGGTTGGAGCGGGCGGGGATGTGCGTTCAAGGTGTCCAAGAACTTGACAGGCTTAAAGCTCGAGTCACTCGTCATGCATGTTGGCGAATGGCCTGCGCATCGTCTGGCTCCCGTTGTTGCAAGTTTCACCTGACACGAGCGGATGGGCTCCGCTCCATCGCAGTTGGATGTGCATGTGACACGCAGCATGCTGCAACAGCAGCCTGCCTTTTGATCGGAGACGTGTTTGTTGGTGAGGACCGGGTGTCCTGATCCTGATCCATTCTCCAAAGCTGTACTTTTAAAATGCAGCGAAATAGACCGTGCTCCAGGCGATGTGTGCCTCGCGTCCGTGTTTCTGCTCAGAAACGCAATGTACGCCCCAAGAACACTGAAACCCACAAATTGAAGGTCGAGGAAGAGCTCCCGTTGTTGGGGGCCACACTAGAAGCTTGAGAGAGCGGGGGGGGGGGGGGGGGGGGAGCTTTTGCTGTGAATGTTCATGGCTTCCTTTATCAGGCTGAAGTTATCACTTGAGAAGCAATTGCTGATTCTTTCCAAGTGCGCCTCTGTTCTACCCATGGCCTTTTTGTGAAAGTGGGTCGCACATTGCAGGTCGTTTTGCGGGTGGGAAAATGGGCCCTCCAAAGCACCTTTAAACTGTACACTTTATTTATGAGTCCTTCCCTTTTTTACATCCAGGCCTGATCCTAAACACCCTAAACCCAAAAGGCAAAACAAAATACCTTAAACCTGGAAGTCAGTCCCTCTTAACCCTAAACTTGGGACATTCCCGCTTATACGGACAGTCCTTGGTAGGGCTGCTAGTACTCCTCAGAAAATTAAGGGGGAGCAACCGAATCCTAACCCCTAACCCTAAACCCTAAACCCTGACCCTGAACCCTGAACCCTGAACCCTGAACCCTAAACCCTAACCCTAAACCCATAAATGGCGTTATGACGTTTCTTCGTCAGATCCGCGGATGCCCTCCGAAGCTGCCCAGTTGCATCAAGGCAGGCCTCGGCAAGCCAGGGTTTAGGGTTTGGGGTTTAGGGTTTAGGGTTTAAGGTTTAGGGTCAGAATAAGACATCACCTGAACAACCTCGGTCACAGGCAAGCTACCACAGGAGCTCTGAAGCAAAAAGGGTCACAATAAGACCGCTGCACTTTGGGGACTCTTCTGCCAGAAGCATACAACCCCTAAAAGGGATTATATTGGGGGGGGTACGATCATCCCTATTAGGGACTGTTAGCATCATAATGGGGAACATCCCAACCTAAACCCCAGGCCCCCAAAGCTGCATGTCCGAGACGGCTTCGATATTCGTGTTCATCAGGGTTTAGGGTTTAGAGTGATTAGGTGCTGTTATGCTTGGGGTACGGATTTGGCTAGAGCAAGGGGATTGTCATGACCGCTGCTCTTAGAGACCTGCCTGTGACTGCGCAGACACTCCCCGGCAGAAGGCCACATCGCCACGGCACCCTCAAGATACCATAGGCAAAGAAGTCGTAGACCTCGCTATGAGTCAGGGCTGTGTCCGTGTCCTTTGCTGCTATCCTGAGCCAATCTTTACAGCCTTAAGGGGGCAATGCAAGGCCAAAGGCTTGCAAGATCATAGACCGAAGAATGTCCCGGGTGGTGACTGGGTCGGCCTGGCAATTGTGATGACATACAGTTTTCGGGCCATACCTAAGTAGCCCCCTAAATAGTCCCCGAAGACCCTCTGATGGCCCTTAGAAGGGTTCTTTTTTGTTTGGGCCCTTGATACCGGTAGCAGCGCGTTTGCAAGACTTACTGGGCTTGCAGGGTTTGGCCATCACAGCTGCCAGTGCATCGAGCCTCACTCAGTAGCACGTGCGCTTCAAACGCACTTGGACGACAGCCACTTTGACGAGGCATTTGGCGACGGACGGTCCATGTGACTCATCTGACACAAACCCTAAACCCTAAACCCTAAACCCTAAACCCTATACCCTAAACCCTAAACCCTAAACCCTAACGCTCGACAACATCCCAGACTTGGGCTTCCTGATTCCTGATCCCACCAACCCTTGGGGAACGATTTTGTGTGATGAGTTTGCCGATGTAGGGGCCCATGCGAACTGCAATTCAAATGTCGACCTCTGCAGGGAGTGGCCTGGAGTAGTTTGCTCTGTTACGGTTCTTAGACAGGCGGCCGGGACAGCGCAGGCTGAAGATCTTCCAAAACCCCTTAATGGAGGAATATACCCTAATCTATACTAAGGATCATGATTATGAATTAGTACATTCCTGAATTAAGGGTTTTTGGAAGATCTGGGTATTCGTGACTTGCCGAGCCAATGTAGATACCCCCTGGCAGCTTAGAGCTAAGAGGGAGCCTTCCCCATCAATCGTCGCACGCCTTTTGCCTCGCAATGCAATTGCTCGCTCACCAAATCGAACAAAGAAAAAGGAGCCGGGGCTTCAGGAGCGAGGGTTGTGCGGACACCTACAGCCTAGTCCTGTGGGTTTCAGCATGGCCACATGATGCCTACTGGAGGCACGTCCCGTGCCCCCTACTTCGCAGCAGCCAGCCTTGTGACCGAAGCCCTCCAACGGTGATCCCCAACCAGTGATTCGTGGAGACAGGTTGTGAAGTTTCTGTGCCAGGCACGGGCGGTGTGTTCGCCAAGTTGTCGTGCAAGCGACCGGGTGTCATTGCAAGAGCTTACGTGCACAAATGCTCATCTCCTTGCCTGAACCCCCCGATCCCCTTGAGCTTTGATCCGTCAATGACCCTAAACCCTAAACCCATCATGTAGGTAACTTCAGGCATGCGTGGCATCAAGCACAGGCCAGGGCCGACATGGAGGAGTCTTTGGAGGGTGGTGCCACGGTGCTCATTGTTGCCGCGTACAAGGCCACGAAATGCCACAAATTTCAAGGTTCACTTTCATTCTAGACCCCCCAGGTATCCGCTAAGATGCCCGAAAGGTAAACTTAGGCTCCTATTAAGAAGTGGGGATACTCGGGATGCTTGAGGCGGCTGAAGCTGTTTCGAGGTCACGTCGACCTGATAACCCTAAACCCTAAACCCTAAACCCTAAACCCTAAATGCCAGTGCCTTCTTGCGGTCCAGGGCGATGTCGAGGTGGTCCAGCTTCTTTGCGAGCTCAAGGCCTATCTTCGGAGGGTTGTTGTTTTTTTTGGATATGGAGTTTAGGGTTTCGGAACATAGGGGCGGGGGGTTCCTACAACAAGGGCTATGATTAGTTTGGGTAGATTAGGGGGCTTTGGAAACCCCATATGGCAAGATCACTAGAGTTTCGATGGTGTTCGGAAGCTGTGTTCAACCGAAAGTCCCAAAGCCCGAGCCCCCAGATGCGCCAGGCAGACGTGAACCGTCCTCAGTCAGATCACGCTTCTCCACTCTTCGTGGTTGCAGAAAAGTCCCACCTGGAAGGTGCGCCATCTCAGGCTAAGTCTTAATTGTGTTGTGCCTTCCCTCGTGCCTTTCCGGGGGCGAAGGGTTGGGGACAACATCATGATCAAGGAAAGCAATGGCGCATGTGCAACCCTAAACACTGAACAGGCCCCCTACCGTATTTGCTGGTGACCTCGTAATCCCCGATGGCCTTGAAGGTGACCGAGTGCTTCGAGCTTTGCTCGATGCCGGCGCTGAAAAGGACGGCCGGTACTTTCAGAGATCATGATACCAGTGAAAGTGACTCCGACTTCCTACTTCTGCAACAGGACCAGGCAACGCAGCGGGGCACTCAGAGCTGGGTGGGGGACTTCTGTGATATCTGGGTCACAGTCCGTTAATTCCCTTTCAATACACAAGGACTGCAGATGCATGTCAAATAGAGGGTGCAGCAAGCACCGAAGCCCATAGATTCCAACCGCAACAAGCCGTAGAGATCTGAAGATCTCGAGCAGATTGTCAAGTCCTGAAGCTGGCAAAGGCTGAGCCTGCTCAGGGCATGGCCATCGAGCGATGTGTCACAGAATGCGTGTGCACGGGGGGCAGAAAGCCAAGATCTCAGCTGTAGGAGCGGTCGTACCCCACTTCTTGCTGCAGTTCGGGGAGGGCGCGTCTCCTTGGTGCGCACGCTTTGCGAGCCCCTGGGCATCTATAGCCGTCTATTGAAATCGTTCGATGGACGAAGTTTTCTGACACTCGGATCCCAAAGCACAGCACGAGCTGTTTGCTGACCATGCCTCAGGTATCGAGCCGACTTGAACAAGGCAACACCTCATGAATATTTGTGGTGCTCAGCTGATCTCAGCTGCCAAGCTCGGCCATGAATCGGGTTCGATGTGCTCTTCCATGCTCTTCCTGAGTTCTTCTCCGGCTGTTACAGACACCGATAGAAGAGATATCTGCTTGAAGGGCGAGGCTGCACTAAGTACCCTGAAACGATCTGAAAAGTCTTCAGAGACTCGAAGCGCAGATGTTTGAGCTGTTCTCTCTATCAAATCCCAAAACCCCGCAGGCAGCAGATAGCGGCTGGTCACCGCCTCTCGGTGCAAAGAGGGCTGGTGATGATGATGATGATGACGACGATGATGATGACGACGATGATGATGATGATGGTAGATGGATAGATAGCTATATAGATAGACAGATAGATAAACACAGATTAATTGAAGGAAGCTCGGACCACCAAGTCCTTCCAGGCTTCTGCTGGCAGTGCAGAGAGGACTTCTGGAGGCTGGTTTAAGCTGTTGCAAGGCACAATGGTGGAGCGTAGTTTATGCTTTGGGATCATAGCTACAAAGGAGGCGTACGGCACGCTTAGTTGACCTAGATTCTTGCAAAGACATGGCCTTGCCTTCTTGTCTGGCAGCAGACAAATTCCCGCCCGCAGAGAAGTCATGGGGTGAAGCATGAGCAGCGTTGTGCTTGAAGCAAGGATGTGAAGTACAGCAACCTGGGCATGAGGGCATGTGCACTTCAGCCCCTCAAGAACGCCAAGGGTCCATGTACCTATATCATACTTGGGGCCTAAAAGGGGTTCCTACTATATAGCAGCTTCCGGGTTCAAGTATATACTATATAGGTACATGGACCCTGAAGGGAATAGAATTTGTCACAAAAGACGCCTTCGGGCAAAAGGCAAAAACTGGCCTTCGGATGTCCCAGCTGCAGAGGTGGTGGACTGCTTGTGCGACGCGAAGGCTTGCGTCGATGTCGTCATGAAGGACCACTACTTAGGATGGGTTTTAAGGGTAGTTCTCCAGATGATGGTCCCTTTTCTTGGGTGCCCTGAATATTCGGGGCTTTTTTCACTAGCAACCCCAAACAAATTTCGGTAAGTGACCATTTGGACTGTTCTGGAGTTGAGTGAGAGTGTCATTGGAGCAATCCGACATTGCCATGCGATAAGATGCAGCTCGATACTGCAAGAAAGCGCTCCCTCCTTTCAGTCCGCGGCAGCTGGTCGCGAAAGTCGCTTCAGTGAGTTCCAATCACGCGGAGCCATTTCGATACAAGTACACCCAAAGCAGATCAAAGCATCACTAAGGCACCATTCTCTCAGGCGACGAAATCCCTTTACTCCATAAAGGCAGCTAAAGATGCGTTCCGAGATAACCCGAGGATGGATCCACAGCCCTTCACTTGGGTTCGCGTTGCGGCTTCAGCAAGCCACTGGCCCGGAGAATCGGGTTGTCAGGTTGCAAGTTGGTGTCCATTCCCAATTCTCTCGCCTGGGGTACCCAGCACAGCACCGCAGCACGAGAGGTGCATACCGGACATCAAAGTACAGCTGGGAAAAGTGCAGCATGTGCTCTTGTACTTCGGGCTGCGGCTAAGGATTGTGGCACGGCTTCTGGAGGCCGGGCCTTTCACTTCAAGCTTCTGGTGGTTCAGGGCTCATCCTTCTCGAAGCTCGGCCCCATCCCACTGCCTACCCCTTGTTGTCACCTGCAAAGTAGTCCGGGGCCCCTAGTACCAGAAGCCTTCTAGGCCCCAAAGAGCATGCTCAGATCAAGCAGGGGTGTGGCTTCTTCATGCTTCATCGCCAGAACACAAAGACCCCAACTTAAAAGCCCATCATACTGCAACACCGAAGCCGGCAGCGAAACCAACAGCCCCAAAGCTTCCAGGCTCGCGCGGAGATGGACCGTCAGCGCCTGGATGGTTGCACGCCACTCCATGCTGCCGCCTACGGCGCGCTGCCCCTGTGAGTGTGGGTGTACTTGGTGTACTTTAGGTACATCTTTGTAACATGGTTTCGATAGGGCGTCCCAGGCCAGCTCAGGTGCAGGTAGGCACAGATCAGTTCGTGCGAAGTAGTTGCTGCTCATAGCTTAAATGACGATCGAAGTGTTGCGGCAAAGACTTGAATCTTCGCCCTGCAAGCGTCCAAAACTTAAACAGGCGACCATTTGGACGCCTTGCACCTCCTTTGCACGGCTCGCGCTTCGCTGACCCTGTGCGATGCCAGCGGCGCGCAGGGGTGAATGAAGGAATGTGTTGTAGCGGTGTGAGTACAAAGTGCAAAATACCATCACTCAGTGACACTCCCCAACATAAGGCTCGGTCCACAGCATGCCCGAGTTGGTATGACAAAGACTACCCCGACGGATTCAGAGTGGCGCTGTCCGTATCTTGAGCTCAGAGTCACGTACAGAATTCAGGTGCTTCTATGATAACGTGCATCGTTTCTGGAATTGCCTCACCATGTAGAGTAGCTGTTTTGTTCTTGTGTGTGTAGGGTGCACCTTTGACGTGCGAGATGAATTGACGTGAATGCAAAAGGCAGCTACAGCTTCCCTGACCTTGGAGGCCACACTGCCTGGGAGGTGGCCCAGATGCTCGACCACGATCTTGCAGCTTCATTTCTCTTGGACGCAACCAGGCAGAGCATCTTGCGCTGAGCACAAAATGGCAACATACCTGGTATGATGCATGTGGTCCAGAATTCGTAGTTTCTCGGAAGTGTCTGAAAAGTTCGACTGCGCAAATACCCGTGTTTTGCGTCACTAGGCGGGAGCCTGAACTTCGCCGAGAAAAAGTGCAGATTTCCAGCTACACGTCCGCGAAATGGAGTAGGTCACACGTCAAAGTTCAACCCAATTTTCGGCTAGGCCTAACCCACAAAGGTCCGATGCCTTGCACATCCAGGAGCTAACAACAGCTAAACACGTGCAACAAATGTGCAGCGGTTGCCAGGTGCTGCGCAGAGGGACTTTTTCAAGTGAAGCCCAACGTCAGCAGCTAAGCCAGGAGCCATGGCCGCGAACCTGAGCGCGCCGCAAAACGCAGTCCACACCTCAGCAGCTGGCAGAAAGACATTCACAAATTTGATAGTAGGTTAATTTCGAGTAATGACAGCGACTTCCGCATGCTTTCACTCCAAGTAACTTGCAACGTTCGCGAATTCGAGACCTGTTCCCTTTTGTTCTAGCATGTGAGCATCATCCTCCTGAAGCCAAGCTCGGTTAGCTGGGTCATGACACCGTCAGGGAGGAAGGCGTGTGAATAGAACCTTCGAGGTCATATGCTCGGCACCGACGTGGAGTTTGCGATGATGCTTGGACTGGCTTTGATACCTCTCGCACCTTGGACGCAGCCCTCGCGGAGGAAGGGTCAGGGCTTCAGGATCTCGTTTTTCAAGCATACCCGGCGAGACAGTTGCTCGCAGAGCTGTCATCAAGGGTTGTACTGCGGTGCGCTGGCTTGGCTTGGGGCGCCAAGCAAGCCATCACGTGCTCCATGTTCGATTTGAGGGGCGAACCCGAAAGTTGAAAGCTGCCTTGGGAAATCTGACCGAAATTGCAGCAGCTATGATTGCTGCCGACAAGGTTCTGAGTGTCCTTTTCATACTTGTCACTGCCGCTTTATCGTGCCTTGGCTGCAACAAGTTGCCAGTTGACTTGGATGAAAACGGCAGGCATCTCGGCCTCATTGTCAGATCCTGAACAAGTCGCCACCGGCATCACCAAACTGCTACAGGTTGAGGGCCTGACACGTGTAACAGTTCTGCGACATTTTATCCGACATGCAACAGCTTCATTGTGCGGAATTGAAGAAGCTGCCAGAAAGTTGTGGGGGATCATGCAAGAGTGTGGAAGCTCCAAAATGCATGTTATTCACTCGTACTCCAATCTGGAAGATTGCTGGAGCATGCGCAGGTGGACCTTAATAGAGAACTTTGGGAGCGAACATAAATCATGAGGGCCTCATTGTATTCTTTAGAAGCTACACGTTGTATACTATCTAGCAGAATAGAGGCCCAACGTTGGCCCTCACACATGTGAGCTCAGCTCGTCGGCACCACTCCAAAGCTTCCCAGCATCCTGCTGCTACCCGAGGCAAAAGCAGATAACGGCAGGAAAGTTGCATGAGCTATTCCAGATGTTAGTGCTGCAAGGGGCATGACGTGGTCCCAGAGTCCGTCTCGGCATTTGGTGTAGCGTTTCGAAAGTACCATCGGCGCCACTGAACATTGACAAGCTCGACCATTTTCAAGTTCAAAAGCAGCCTTCAGGGCTCAGAAGCTGAATTGCCAAGCCTTTAGGGCTGACGGACTCGGGACACACAGGCTTGCTAATGCTTGCCAGGTTGTCTCACACGTCGGATGGGGAGCATGGGAGACACGGGGCTGCCAGAAATGGTGAGATTAAGTCACATGCTGCTCGCACAGGAGCCTCGTGTCCAAAAGATGCCCGGCCCCCGCTCCAAATCTTCGCACAATAGAATGGGGCTGCTCTTGCCTGCTTCAGGCAACATTTCAGTTGTGTTCAGTACCCACGAATCCACGCCGACGATAGAGGGATCGACCCAGCCAAAAAGGCTAAGACCCGTTCTCAGCTTCATGCCAAAATCGTGGGAACATGCCCAGGGCGCGTGGCGACGCACGTGTGAAGAGCGCCACGGCCACCCCCACAGCAGACAGGATATGCACTGAATGGTCCGTGAAAATTAAGAGGTAAAAGGAGGGATCCATAATCGTGTTGTCCTATAAAACCCCGACATATACCTTATACAGTTCTTATATACTTAAGCCGAAATAACCCCTGAACTAACCCGAAGGGTCCCTTGTAAGGTCTCTCCTGTAGTCCCTTGAAAATATTACATGGAGGGAAGTAAGGCAGAACCAAATAGACAGCGGCTGAAAGGATTTGCAATCATGTTCGAGTATATTGACGTCTTCGAGAAACTGGTTGAGTATCACGTCGCAATTTGGGGCACAAGCCGACCCACTTGCGCAGCTCTTCTGGCTTTGTCCCGCATTCAGAACGGTTCATGTCGGGAGAGACCATGCCTGCGTGGATGGCTCAGGTCGTCCCACCATAACCACGCGCTCGGCGATAAACAGTTCAAGCCATGACACGCATGTAGACACTGTAGACGGTTCTCCGCTTCCCAGCTTCTCGGCAGTGTTGCATCTCATGCTTTCTGGAAGCTTGCGATGGCAGACGTGGGCGGCCAAGGCCTGGTTTGGCATTGTTTGGCATTGTTTGGCATTGTTTGGCATTGGCGAGATAGGATTTCGGTACCACCCACAGGTGTTGCGCCGGCGGTGGTCTCCAAGAGACGATGCTTGGAATTTCTAATTGAAGTTTTTGCATGAGCATGTGCAGCCCGCCTTTCCTGATGAAGCCACGGCGGGAGGAGTATGTGCACATGGTATCAGCAAACTGACTGGTATTTGAGGCTTCCTGCTGGCTATGATTCTGGCAAGGCACGCGCTGCACACCGTACACTACTGGGGACCTCTCGTAGCCCTCAGCTGTACAGCCCTCAGACCCTGTAGTGACCCTGTACACTGCTAACTTTTGGATGCCGTTGCAGGAGCTGCACCCGTGATGCAGCATCGCGTCGCGTCACGATTTGCTGAAGCGAAGCCTGCTTCAGTTGTCTTCCTGTCTTGCTCTCTGTGTCCGTGTCTGTGTGTGTGTGTGTGTGTCTCTGTCTCCGTTTCTGTCTCTTTGTGTGCGTGTCTGTCTTTGTGTGCGTCTGTGCATGTCTGTCTCTCTCTCTCTCTCTCTCTGTATGTGTGTGCGTGGGTGGGGGTGTGGGTGCGGGTGTGGGTGTGCGCGTGCGCGTGTGCGAGCGTCTGTGTCTGTGTCTGTGCGTCTCTTTCTGTCTCTCTCTTTTGTCCTTTCTTCTCTTGGCTGTTGCCGCAGGTCCCTGAATGCTGCGGGCATTGGTCTGCTGATCAGCGCTGCTGGGTACAGTTCTCTAGTTTGGGTTCTCCCAAAGTCTGTGCGTCAGCTGCTTGTAGTGAACTACCTCCCTGATGGTAACACTATAGAGGTCCTATGGCTTTGCTACAAGGTGTTCGGGTGCAGACGGGTCTAGAATCGACAAAGCCTTAGGACGCACAAGTTCACTCCGCAGGTGGTTAAAAGGTCATGTTGCAACATCTACCAGAATTACCCTGTAAACCTTAAACCTTAAAACTTCCAGACATGCAAAAACCTGCCCCGGAAGCAAGGCTTCGATCAACCTACTCTACTTGCTCACGCGGAAGCAGCTGCAGAGAGAGGTCGCAAAGGTCCGCTGCGGTCCACTGCGGCCACTGAGGTCTCAGCGCAGCGCCCTTCAGATCTGAGCAGCTTCTGCAAGTTTGCAGGGCGAGTCAAAGGTGGAGGGCACAGAGAACAATGGCCATGAAGGCAAGCTTCGAAGGGGCCCGGCAGAATTAGTCAGGAAGGGACACTAGAGAGCCGGAGGATACTACATGTCTCTGAGTTCAGAGCCTGAGACCCTCATCTTGTGTAGCAGGCTTGGAAAAGCTGGTGCATCAACGTGTTCAGCGGATCTCCACGGAGCCTCTTCCTGCACGTGAGGTCAGTCCTCACAGTCCTAGCATTCCAAAACGGCTTATCGGGCCTCTGATTGGGAACTGTCCGCCTCCTCCGAGGACATCGCCACCTTTTCCACTCTCTTGGACTTTTTCCTGGCCCCACTGGTCGGCCGCTTCATGGACGGCACCCTCAAGCAGCCGGAACTTAACGTTCAATCTCACTTCATGCTAATATTTTTGAAGGACGCCTTTGGACGAATGCCAACAATGCTGCTCGCTGTGGGCAGCTCTGCTGTGACTCAGCTGAAGAAGTCTGGGACAGTCGGCATCTTATGCAGGTGTGATTCTCCGCGTACAACATGGCCCTTAAGACCTTGCTTGATTGTTAGGGGGGGAGGGGGGGGGGGCGGAGGACTAGCACGGACAGCTTCGCACCAACAGCAATGGGCCTTTCTTCATGGTGCTGGCTGTGGCATAAGTTCGATATGCAGGAGACAGAAGAATGTTTGCAGTGTTCGCCACGCCTCGCAGCCTTTAAGTTATCCCACACAGAGATGGAGCTCCAAGCTTTCAGGTCATGCGCCTGTCGGTGGCTGCGCTGCCCTCACTCAGGCCGGGCAAGCCGACGCCGCTGCATGATGCCTTGCTTGGAGGTTCATGGGGAGTTAGAAGTAGGGTAGACTATGGTTCTAACCTTCCTTAGGGTAGTTATAAACCTACTTATAAGTGCCCATATGAACTTCCAAGGGTCATATGTAGGGTAACTATGGTTATAACCTGAGGGTACTTATCACCCGACTTGTAAGTGCCCGTGAACCTCCAAGTGCGGATACGGCTTCTGAAGGCTCTACATCTTCTACCGGGTCATCGTTGCCATCACTGCAAATGCTTGGTTTGGTGCGAGCGCCGCCAGCATCAGCGATGTCTGGGCCTAAGCAAGACGATGTTTGAAGCAGCTGCTGTAGAACACAGGGATGGTCCGGAGAATAATTGGGGACTTAGCATTGAAGGCTTGCAGCGACAGGGGATAACGCGTGATGATATTCATTAGGGATTTGCTGCCTTGGGTGTGTGCTATTTGTCCAGTTCCTCAGGACTGAGGCAAAAAGGCCACGCACGCAATGCTGCTAGATGAGGTTGGGGAGAGCTACGGCCCCTCTCCCCCTTCGCCCTGCTCATTCAACAATCCCTCGCATGCCTTGTTTGTTGCCTTGACCTTGCTCATTGCGTTGCTGTGTCTCCCACGGTCCCCAGGTCTTCGGTCGGGGCAGCGTGGCCTTCGCAGAAGCGACAAGCCGAGTTCAGCGCCACCAAGCTCAACCTGAAGCCACATTTGTGGGTTTAGGGTTTAGGGTTTAGGGTTTAGGGTTTAGGGTTAGAACAATAAAAATGTGCACAGGCGAGGGAAAATGCGTTGTGTGGCAAAGTTGAGACTCCGAGCAACCGTGGGTGATGTAAGAAGCGGGGCCCCATGCTCCAACACACAATTTGGGCTCCGACATGCAAAGGCAAGCTTTCGAGATGCAAACTTTCTAGGTTGCGTCGACCTGAATAGTAGAACAAGAAAATGGTAAAAGAGTAGGTTTTGGAGATGCAAATTGCGGATTTCGCGTAAAGATGGTAAAATAGTACAACACTAACATAGTAAAATAGTGAACAGTAAAATCGTTTCAGGTGGGTTTTCGAGATGCTAGTTCCAGCCGGCACAGGTGGGTTTCCGAGATGCAAACTGCTGATTTCGCGTCAACACAGTAAATAGCAAAATCTTGGTCCAACCGGGCACAGGTGGGTTTTCGAGACACAAAATGCTGATTTCGCGTAAACATAGAAAATCGTAAAATAGTAACATAGTAAAATAGTCAACAGTACAAAGTAACATCGTAAAATAGTGAAGTAGTAAAGTTGTTCCAGCCGGCACAGGTGGGTTTAAGAGATGCAAACTGCTGACTTCACGTAAACAAATAGGAAAATGGTGAAAAATTAAGGTTGAAAAATTGTAACATGGTAAAATAGCAAAACAGTAAAATGAAAAAATTGTAAATAGTAAAATTGTTCCAACCGGCACAGGTGGGTTTCGAGATGCAAACTGCTGATTTCGCGTAAGAATAGTACAAATAGAAACAATGCTGGAAATCGCGAACTAGAAAATAGCAAAATAGCAATATAGTGAAACGGTTCCAACCGGCACAGGTGGGTTTTCGAGATGCAAACTGCCGATTTCGCGTAAGAATAGTTTAATCGTAAAATAGCAAGAATAGCAAAATAGTAAACTAGTAACATTGTTCCAACCAACGCAGGTGGGTTTTCGAGATGCAAACTGCTGATTTGAGGAAGTCGTGTAAAGAGAAGCGGAGGAATTCCTCACATTTCGCATAAACATAGTTTGAAAAAAAAGTAGAATCCTGCTCCGACATGCAAGGTTGGGTCTTGGGTCTTCGAGATGCAAACTGCTTGGTGCCATGCATCTGGGGCGCCGGCTTTGCATCTCGAAAACCCAAGCTTGCATGTCCAAGGCCCATCCCCCCTTTCGATCCCTCTTGGCTTCGCCAAAGTGAAGCTTATGAAAGAAAAAACCAGCACTGCATTGAGCCCCGGTGCCCTTGTGCTTTCTATACGTACTTGGTCATTGGATGGACAGGAGATGTGACAGCCAAGGGGCACGTGTCCTTCAAGGGTTCTAGCTCTTGAAAGTATCTACACTCAGCCAAGCCTTATTTCCTTTGTGGAGACGCTGCTTGCTGAGGGGGCCAGGGCATTTGAATTGAAACCTTGCAGGAAATCTTTCACTAGCAGACTTAAGAGCTCAAGGCAACAAAGTGCTGAGCTTCTGCTTAAAGGCCTTTTGCGGCATGAGCTGCGTTTATTTTAGGCGTTTCTTTTTAAAGCAGTTGGCTGCAGTAAATTTCGGATCTGCAGATGGCCACGCAAATTGCCATCGTAATGAATACAATGAGTTCGTGGTGCAACCAGCATGAACAATGGAGTTGCTGTGCTCAAGCTAGCCCGAGGCTTTGCTTTGCTGGCCATGCTGGCCGGCACCTACACTGGGCGCTTTGTCAAGGAGGGTATTGCAAGTGGCAAGCCTCCTGGGGTTCAGCTAAACTACGGGGCATTGTGGACCCTTTTTTGGCTAAAGAGGCCCAAAAGCATGCGTAAGAGATGGACATGGTTGATCATTGCTTCCAGATACGACACTACAATTCATAAGTTGCATAAGTGCTGAAGTATGCCAACCATGCGCCACCATGCAGGCTGACAAGAAAAACGTTACGATCGATGGCTTTGGACCCAAAGCATGCCAATCAGTTGCAGAACCCTTCGAACCGTGGTGCGAGGAAGCCAAGAAGCAAATCCCAATATCAAGAATCCATGGCACTGCATTTCACTTGGAATACGTGTCAGCTTCCGTACCGACAGGCCGTGCCTAGGAAACAAAGCATCTTCTGAAGCAGATTTTGTGCATCTTTCCGCCTTCCTCGCATTGTTACCGAACTTTTGCCCCTGCTGTTCAGCCTTCAACGATCTTGGACACGGCTGGGCACACTGTGCATATCTGCGCCCATTGTCAATAGCATGCCCACGCTGCGAATTCTAACTTGCAGGTGTAGCCCCACCCCCCGCCTCTGCTAAATCCTAAACCCTAAACCTTAAACCCTAAACCCTAAACCCCCCAAAGAAAGGCAGTGAAAAGGAACTGCAGGAGCCACAGCGCGCTTTCGCAGCCGTGGGCTTCATGCACCGCGGCGGCAAGAGGGAGCGTTCAGTCTCTTCAGCTCCCAAGGCCCAAGAGACTTGAAATTGTTATCATTATAATTGTTCTTTCTGGATTATTACTAAGATTAATTATTCTTACTATTATGATTGAAAATTATTGTTATTGTCACTGTTATTTTTACTGTTATTATTGTTATTCGCTATAATCATGATTGTTTTTCGACTGCAGCTGCGGCTCGGAGACTGATACCAAACCCGCAAGGCAGCTACTGGCAGCAGGGTGCGTGGGCCTTTGCGTCACAGCCCCTCAGCTCGAAGAAGCAGCGGCGGAGTGTAGGCGCAAGTGGCAGAGGGGTCAAGCTGGGCAGTTTTGGAGCCTGATACTTCTGCATATCTCCTGAATGGCTTTGAACAGCGAACAGCAGTATAGAGTAAAGTATACAGAGCCTGTGGGCAAGCGCCGGGGGCTGCAATGCACAGCACTGCAGTCGTGCGAACAGTTGGAAACGCTACAATTTTCGGCCTGTGGGGCCCCCGGACAGTCACAAAGGCTGCCATTGAGTGTATGTGGCACTGCGACAAAGCTTTTTGTTTCTTGTTAGTGCTCCCGGTGCATTACTGTTGCTTTTATGGAGTCAGTTTTTTGGGATGCTGCACCCCAAAAGGCACTGGACAGAATTTTGCACGCGAAGCATGTCTGCTTCAGGAAACCCTGCCTTCCAGTTCCAAGGGGGCAATGGATTGGTCTTTGCTGCTTGGCCAAGTGTCGGCGGTTGGGCCAGAGAAATCAAGCACCGATTGCGTTGCCTAGAACGCTGGAAAGGCTAGGCAAAGGGCAGAGAATCCGAGGAACACGGTGAGCCCCCTCACTTCCCTGTCTTTCTTCCGGAAGAGCAGAGCCCTCACAGCGCTGGCGGTGTTGTCCACCGTGATGGAGTGATTCGGTTGCCCAATGATGCCAAAGTGCGTTTCACCATTGATACCGGAGTCATTACAGGGTACCTTTAGGCTTCTTGAGTCGTGGGGTTTGCCATGATGTTTTTTTGGTAATCTCCTGCATTTCTCGGCTCGGAAGTGCCATGCATGGTCCTTGGGATTCTGGTGCACCTGCCCTTCAGCTCCGACTTTCCCACCCGAAACCTGACAACCAGGCTGCCTTCACACGTCAACATCGATGCCGTGTATCGCCGCCAGAAGTTCGGCGCGGGATGGAGCAACGAGCAGGACTCATCTCAGATGGCCTTGAGCTCAAAGTGTCGTGTGCACGCAGGACCACAGTAGCCAAGCCACCTTTGTGACCCTTTCAGGGTACAACTTTACTGCTTGATCTGCTAGACCTAGTTTGCAACAGAAGACGATAGGTCGAGAAGAGAGAAAGGTTGCCCCATCTCAGAAGCCGCTCTGTGTTTTTGCTTCCCCAGCTCAAGGTGGCTCAGCAGATTTCGGGCGTCCTCAGCACCTTCTTCCGCACCCGGCTGATCGCAAAGCTCGGTCAGCAAGGGGCTTGCCGAGTTGACGCCTGGTGCACGGAGTCTTGGCACTATCTTTGATGCCCCCACACCTGCACCACAAGGCAACAGAGAATCCACACATGTCAAGACCCTCCTGAACAGCCCCATTCCCCAGAAGAGATATGGCCCCAACTGAACGTGCTGAGCACAAGGTCCTCATGAATCTGAACAATGCCCTGGCCTGGCATCCAAGACTTCTGTACTTGAACCCGCTCTTGAGCGTGTCGTACGGCTGCAAGGAGGGTCACGAGCAAAGCACGCTCTTGGACTCTTGGGGGCATGGGCTCTTGGTTCTCCTTTCAAAGACAAGGCCGTGCGGCGACAGTTGCAGCCTTTGAAGCCAGACCACTTATGCTCGATGTATGATGCGTTCTTCTAGGCACGTCACACTGATCGGTAGACATGATGTGAAGGAGCTAGATGCAAGACTCGAAATTGCTTGGGTTTTGCATTCTATAGTGAGATCTTCATTCCGAAGTAATCTGCGCGATGGTCCAGGTTTCAGTGCGCTGGACTCTCGCAGCTGGGCGCAACGAGAAAGCGGCCTCTTGTGTGGTCTTGGGTCGCCAGAGCAGGGTATCAAGAGCCGCCAAAGCCCAAAAGCAATCCTACACACGGCATGTGCAACAAAGTATTCCCAAACTTAATTCTGCCCAAAGTGCCGCTCAGCAAAATCCCTCATGCCCCGGACAGAGCCAAGTCTCCACCAAGTTGCTCTAGAGGAGAGGCACAGACGCACCTAGGCTAGACCAGGAGCTGCAAAAAGCAGCAGCAGCTGCAAATCTTGGCGTGCCTTGGTAGGGTTTAGGGTTTAGGGTTTAGGGTTTAGGGTTTAGGGTTTAGGGTTTAGGGTTTAGGGTTTTAACGTGGAAAGAGCCACTTGGAAGGAGCAGTTTCACAAGGGAGGCTAGGGCCCCGTGAGAATTTTGCCCAAAGCACTCGTTCACTGCTGATGATTACATGCGGGTTTGCCTGCAGTACCGCGCCCAGGGCTTGACCGACGTTCTCCTGAATTTCAATAATTGTTGATCCACATGGTTCGCAACAGAAACTGAAGCCAAGGGACCAAAACAGCCCTGAAGGGAGTGGTTTAACAGCAAGCAAAAAATGAAGAGCATCCGAACATCACAAGACGGAAAGCTCTGAAGAACAAGCTCCTCCTTGCAGCGAAACTCCTCCAATCTGAAGGTCTAATTTGGTAGGCTTGCAGGGTGGAGACAAAGTGAGTATCCCGTTTGGAAAGCACCAGCGACTCAGGTGGGCCTTTTGGGGGACGCTCGGCGTTTCACATTGCCCTTGGCACTGGCTGTCCGGTCAGGTAGAGGTGAAACCTGATTCAGGGAGCACGTCACTTCCGATCACCTTGTCCAAGTTGTTCTGGCAAGTCGGGAGATCCTACTCAGCATCCTCCCATCGTAATTATTGAGATTGCCTTGCTTATATTGGCCCTATTCAGACTCTGGCTCCAAGAATTTGAGGCAGCCAATGCCAACCGCGGCTTCCTGCCATCGTTGGCAGCTTGTTTGGACTCAAGTGGGACGAATGGCTACACGCACTCAAGCACGCCTTTGATCAGTACTTGCTTTCAAGGAAGCTTGAGGAGAGTCACCCTGTTTGAGCTCACTCCACAGACTAACCGGCGAGTTTTGGTTCCTCAGGATTGCTCATAGGGCAACTCGTGCACCCAAAAAACGACCTTACCTCCGAGAGCAGGTGGGGGTTCTTTTTGGGTATATTTTGTGTTTTTTTGGGAGTTTTTTTTTGGTTTTCTAAACCCTAAACCCTAAACCCTAAATCCTAACCCTAAACCCTAAACCCTAAAACCCTAAAACCCTAAAACCCCAAAACCCCAAAATCCCTAAACCCTAAAACCCTAAAACCCTAAAACCCTAAACCCTATACCCTAAACCCTAACCCCTAACCCTAAACCTTAAACCCTAAACCCTAAACCCTATACCCAAAAACATACCCTAAACCCCAAAACATACCCTAAACACACAAACATACCCAAAAAAAACAAAAAAAAATACCCAAAAAAAACCTGGCTCCTCCGAGAGCCACAGCATACAGCACAGCCAATCGTTGAAGCCTGGGTGCTTCATCTGCCACCTTACAAACTACTGTTTGCTTAAGAACCCCAAAAAATTAAAAAAAAAAAAAAAAAAAAAATAAAAATAAATAAATAAAAAATAAAAAAATAAATAAAATAAAATAAAATAATCCCTATATTAACCTTAATAAGGAAGAATATTTTTTGTGTTCTTAAGCAACTAGTAGCAAAGCGCTTAGGTCATGCCACGCATCTACACTGCCATGTACAGCTTCTTGGCCGCAGGTCGCCTCGAGATGGTTCTATTCAGACTTGAGCAGGTTACTCATTAAGGTTGCTAGTTCAGGTTGCGCATATTGTTACTAGTTGTGCGTACTAATTAAGGTTGCTAAGGTTACTGATGCGCTACTGAGGCCTCTGGGGCCGAACGTGCCCATCTGCAGCATATGCTGTGGCTGGAGTCTCGCCGCTGGAACTGAAGAACATAGATGCTTTGCATGTAGACTGAGCAAGCGCGTACCATGCAACCTTGCAAGCATAGGACGGGTCAGCTACGACTGTTTGGGCGGATAGTCCGCATGCAGCTTGTTGCATGAAATCTAAGCCTGGCGGGGCAAGCTAAGCACCATGAATCTGGACACTAGCGGGGCATGAGCGACATCCATGCAAAGCAAGTGTGACGATGTTTTGGCAAGACTTTCGGACTGATCTCCCAAACACGGTAGAAAACATTAGGAAACAGACCCGATCCTACGTCCGCAGCCCTTGCCAATCCCTCTCTCTACAGGGCTGCACTCGCCGCCGAGCTCGTGGTTCCCTGGAGCTTCGCCCGCTTGGCACCCCCGCGTTGAGACGAAAAGTCGCAGAAGTGTCTCTCAGGGTGGTGTGGGACCTTTGGCTCTAATCCTTTTGCCTGGTTTCAGGGACAATTGGTGTTACGCGAGGAGGATATGCAGACTGCCTACTGTTTCCTTGAGCCTAAAACATACACTCGTGCATGTTTGGACGTCGACCCGATAGCTTCTGGACAGTTCGATTCCCATGAGAGCCCTGGCACCAAGCACAACCATAGCCTTGCTCCACAGACATGAACGACTCAGCACCTGGACCATAAGCCATCCGAAGATCACCCCAGGGCTTTGCCCAACAACACGTACCTGAACTACCTAAACAGTTCTCGGGTGCTCGTGGCTGCCTGTGTGTGCGGCGATGGTGGTGGCACCTGGTGTGCTGCATGCCAACTCCTGCCACGGCTGATGCTTGTTCTCTTACGTTATTTAAACATGAGCGCAGACACGTACTGAACACCAACTTTGTTGATTTCTGCCACATCTTTCCACGCTTATCACAGCTCCAGCCAGTGTGTCCGAGTGCGACACCTGACCCGAAAGTTCATGTGGGAGTTTACGAAACCCAATAAGGTACCCCTAATTTCGGAAACCTCCATGTTGAGAAGACAAGCAAGGAGGCACTCAACTTATTGCATCCTGGTTGGCCTACATTCTGCCACGGCCATGCTGGATGAAACATTCATCGAGCTTGAGCCAGAGGACAGCAGAAGCAGTGCTTGGCTGCGGCACCTGAATGGGCTTGTGTTGTGCGAAAGAAGGCCAGATTCACGTGCTTTGTGTTGAGAAGGTCATTGCTGAATTCTGAGTTTAAGTTCGAGTCCCTGTACCGAAAGAGGGTCCTTGGTCCCAAAACAACTGCCCGCACTCAAGGAGCCAGCAGAACTCTTTGACATACGTTTGACAGTGGTGCTGCTGTCCGGCCATGCCCAAGCAGCTCGGGCATCACAGCATTCCCAAAGCTTGCTGACATTCTAGATAGACCCGGCGTGGCATTCTAGATAGACCCGGCCCACAGATTTTGTACTGTTGGCGGAGTTTTGTTCGGATGGCAAGTTGAGGACAGAGCATGCATGCAATCGCCAGACTTGCAGATCCTCGAGTAGTCCTATTGCTTGCGACACAGGGAGGGTAGGCATCGCCAGGTCAAGCTTGATAAAAATGTCCATTTTCCCAGCACAGGAGCTGTGCTGCAGAAAGATGGACGGGGCTTCTGCAAGCATTATGGGTGTGCATGCATGCCGGGGGGAGGGGGGGTTGCGCGGGCTGCACCGCAGCCTGCATAGTTGTCGTCCGAACTTCAACAAGTGCCGAAAGCCTGAAGAATCGTACCAATCATGTTAAGAAGTCCCGTTGAACAGATTACTAAACTTGTCAGTTTCGTGCTTCCTGAGTACAAGCAAGAATCTGCCTCAGCCGTTGCAGGACACCGTGTCGGAGGTCCGTCGCAAAGTTTCACAAGCGCTTGGCCTGACGAAGGGCAAGGCTGGTGCATCCAAAAACAGAGGTCCCCGTAATAGGCTCAAAGGAATACTAGAGTCCTTAGTGTGGGACCGTTTGACCATTTTGACCCAAACAAAGGGCCGCCGCATGAAAGCACCGCAAGATTGGCCTCCACCCTACACATCTAGACATTCTGGCAGCATCGTCTGCATGGCTCAACCAGCGGAGGCGTGCAGGCTGCTTGATCCCCAGGGCATGTGCCTCCCAGACGACCGGTTAGCCGAGGAGCTGCTGTCGAACATTTGTAGGCCACTTCCGGAACCTTGGGGTCGAGCTTTGAAAAATTTTTAGACAAGCCGAGCTGATGTGATTCAGGTCGAGATGTCTTACAGAGGCTTCGTTGGTTTAAAGTGCGGCTCGCAGGAGTTGTACGACAAGACGCTTACAGTCATCCTTGTGCCTCGATCAGCAAACACTGCATGGAGAAGAGCGTGAAGACATTTTGCCCCAGATCTCTCGCATGAAAATGTAGATATAGAAATATAGTATACCTAACAATTATAATGGTACTAATAATAATCATCATCATCATAACTTTGAATAAACACAATAATATAGAGAATAGAATAATATGAATAGGCTACCGAAGTAATACCGACAATAAAATAGCACACCAACATAAAAAAAAATGGATCATCTAATAACCTAACTATGGCTAAAAGAATAACAAAAGCAATATTTTCTAATATAGTAGCAGAAAGGACATGGGATTTATCATGCCCAGGTCCACGGCCTGCGGTGCGTGTGCATGTAGGCGCCATCCGAATCCCGCTTTTGGATGCCGAGGTGCGCTTGGCCAGGTTTCGCGCGAATCCCCCTGACGACTTTGGCTCATTGTGTGTGGATGGCTTTGGGGACATGTCACCCAACAGCATGAGAAGTTGAAATGTGGGATGTTCCCCTTATACTAGCAGTCCCTCATAGGGATTATAGTACC